TAAATTCGGAAACTTTCTGGAGAAGGAGTTTCTCTCGAAAGAAGTGAGTGGGAGGAAAGTAGAACTTGACGAGGTAACTGTACCTACTCCCTTATTGGAAAGTAGTACATCACAGAAAACTGTTTCAGTGACACCTACACAAATTAGTGAGCAAGCTAATGATGATGATCATGAAACTTTAGATCAAGATACTACTGAACCTCGTAGATCAACCAGAGTGAGATCCGCACCAGAGTGGTACGGTAATCCTGTTCTGGAAGTCATGCTACTAGATCATGATGAACCTACGAACTATGAAGAAGCGATGGTGAGCCCAGATTCCGCAAAATGGCTTGAAGCCATGAAATGTGAGATGGGATCCATGTATGAGAACAGAGTATGGACTTTGGTTGACTTGCCCGCTGATCGGCAAGCAATTGAGAATAAATGGATCTTCAAGAAGAAGACTGACGCTGACGGTAATATTACTGTCTACAAAGCTCAACTTGTCGCAAAAGGTTTTCGGCAAGTTCAAGGGATTGACTACGATGAGATCTTCTCACCCGTAGCGATGCTTAAGTCTGTCCGAATCATGTTAGCAATTGCCGCATTTTATGATTATGAAATTTGGCAGATGGATGTCAAAACTGCATTCCTGAACGGATTTCTGGAAGAAGAGTTGTATATGATGCAACCAGAAGGTTTTGTCGATCCAAAGGGAGCTAACAAAGTGTGCAAGCTCCAGCGATCCATTTATGGACTGGTGCAAGCCTCTCGGAGTTGGAATAAACGTTTTGATAGTGTAATCAAAGCATTTGGTTTTATACAGACTTTTGGAGAAGCCTATATTTACAAGAAAGTGAGTGGGAGCTCTGTAGCATTTCTGATATTATATGTGGATGACATATTACTGATTGGAAATGACATAGAATTTCTGGATAGCATAAAGGGATACTTGAATAAGAGTTTTTCAATGAAAGACCTCGGTGAAGCTGCTTACATATTAGGCATTAAGATCTATAGAGATAGATCAAGACGCTTAATTGGACTTTCACAAAGCACATACCTTGACAAGATTTTGAAGAAGTTCAAAATGGATCAAGCAAAGAAAGGATTCTTGCCTGTATTACAAGGTGTGAAGTTGAGTAAGACTCAATGCCCGACCACTGCAGAAGATAGAGAGAAAATGAAAGATGTTCCCTATGCTTCAGCCATAGGCTCTGTCATGTATGCAATGCTGTGTACCAGACCTGATGTGTGCCTTGCTATAAGTTTAGCAGGGAGGTACCAAAGTAATCCAGGAGTGGATCACTGGACAGCGGTCAAGAACATCCTGAAGTACCTGAAAAGGACTAAGGATATGTTTCTCGTATATGGAGGTGACAAAGAGCTCATCGTAAACGGTTACGTTGATGCAAGCTTTGACACTGATCCGGACGATTCTAAATCGCAAACCGGATACATGTTTACATTAAACGGTGGAGCTGTCAGTTGGTGCAGTTCTAAACAAAGCGTCGTAGCGGGATCTACATGTGAAGCGGAGTACATAGCTGCTTCGGAAGCAACAAATGAAGGAGTCTGGATGAAGGAGTTCATATCCGGTCTAGGTGTCATATCTAGTGCATCGGGTCCAATGAAAATCTTTTGTGACAATACTGGTGCAATTGCCTTGGCAAAGGAATCAGATTTCACAAAAGAACCAAGCACATCAAGAGACGCTTCAATTCTATCCGGGATCTAGTCCAGGTGGGAGACATAGAGATTTGCAAGATACATACGGATCTGAATGTGGCAGACCCGTTGACTAAGCCTCTTCCACGAGCAAAACATGATCAGCACCAAGACTCCACGGGTGTTAGAATCATTACTGTGTAATCTAGATTATTGACTCTAGTGCAAGTGGGAGACTGAAGGAAATATGCCCTAGAGGCAATAATGAAGTTATTATTTATTTCCTTATTTTATGATAAATGTTTATTATTCATGCTAGAATTGTATTAACCGGAAACATAATACATGTGTGAATACATAGACAAACAGAGTGTCACTAGTATGCCTCTACTTGACTAGCTCATTAATCAAAGATGGTTATGTTTCCTAACCATGAACAAAGAGTTGTTATTTGATTAACGAGATCACATCATTAGGTGAATGATCTGATTGACATGACCCATTCCATTAGCTTAGCACCCGATCGTTTAGTATGTTGCTATTGCTTTCTTCATAACTTATACATGTTCCTATGACTATGAGATTATGCAACTCCCGTTTGCCGGAGGAACACTTTGGGTGCTACCAAACGTCACAACGTAACTGGGTGATTATAAAGGAGCATTACAGGTGTCTCCAAAGGCAGATGTTGGGTTGGCGTATTTCGAGATTAGGATTTGTCACTCCGATTGTCGGAGAGATATCTCTGGGCCCTCTCGGTAATACACATCACATAAGCCTTGCAAGCATTACAACTAATATGTTAGTTGTGAGATGATGTATTACGGAACGAGTAAAGAGACTTGCCGGTAACGAGATTGAACTAGGTATTGGATACCGACGATCGAATCTCGGGCAAGTAACATACCGATGACAAAGGGAACAACGTATGTTGTTATGCGGTCTGACCGATAAAGATCTTCGTAGAATATGTAGGAGCCAATATGGGCATCCAGGTCCCGCTATTGGTTATTGACCGGAGACGTGTCTCGGTCATGTCTACATTGTTCTCGAACCGTAGGGTCCGCACGCTTAAAGTTACGATGATAGTTGTTATGAGTTTTATGCATTTTGATGTACCGAAGTTTGTTCGGAGTCCCGGATGTGATCACGGACATGACGAGGAGTCTCGAAATGGTCGAGACATAAAAATTGATATATTGGATGACTATATTCGGACACCGGAAGTGTTCCGGATGAATTTTGGATAAAACCGGAGCACCGGGGGGTTACCGGAACCCCCCGGGGGGTTAATGGGCCTTATGGGCCTAATGTGGAGAAGAGGAAGGGGCTGCCAGGGCAGGCCGCGCGCCCCCTCTCCCCCTAGTCCGAATTGGACAAGGAGGGAGGGGCGGCGCCCCCTTTCCTTCTCTCCCTCCACCTCTCCTAGTTGGACAAGGAACGGGGAGGGGAGTCCTACTCCCAGTAGGAGTAGGACTCCTCCTGCGCCCTCCTCTAGGCCGGCCGCATCCCCCCCTTGGATCCTTTATATACGGAGGCAGGGGGGCACCCTAGGACACACAAGTTGATCCTCGTGATCGTTCCTTAGCCGTGTGCGGTGCCCCCTGCCATCATATTCCACCTCGGTCATATCGTTGTAGTGCTTAGGCGAAGCCCTGCGTCGGTAGAACATCATCATCGTCAGCACGCCGTTGTGCTGACGAAACTCATCCCCGAAGCTTTGCTGGATCGGAACCCGGGGAGCGTCATCGAGCTGTACGTGTGCTAAGAACTCGGAGGTGCCGGAGTAACGGTGCTTGGATCGGTCGGATCGGGAAGACGTACGACTACTTCCTCTACGTTGTGTCAACGCTTCCGTTGCGATCTACAAGGGTACGTAGATCATACTCTCCCCTCTCGTTGCTATGCATCACCATGATCTTGCGTGTGTGTAGGAAAATTTTGAAATTACTACGTTCCCCAACACATGCCGCACCATGTTTGCGTCAAACGACGCCCACGGTGCGTTCACTTTCGCCTTGGCGCGCCAACGGAGGGGTTGTGCGTCCACTACCGCTTTCGGACACCAGACAGACCGCACCGCCTCCGGTGAGGCAGCGGGGACACACCTCGCAGCAGATGCATGTGCCATTTGGTCATACGCAATGGAATCCCGATGGAAGGAGTCCAAGCACTATCATTGGGCGGCCTCCTCCCGGGAGCGGTGGAGTGCAAGCCTGGCGACCATCTTCTCCTCGATGCCTTGTGGGATGAGCTCGGGGTCGACTGATCTGGAGGTGTAGGAATCAGATCCGTTGCACACCATGCCGGAGATCGCCGGAAGGGAGTTTGGATGACGGAGTGGAGTGACTAGGTTTTGGTCCGAGAAGGTGATGGGAACAAATATATGTGGGATTGAGTGGGCCAACGTGGGCCCGATCCAACATAGCAAACACGCCCGATCGCGCCCGGACCTCCCATATGAATATGAAGGATACCGATTATTCCGAACGTTTGAAGCCGGTTTAAAACAGTCATCTGGGTCAAATTTTTCTGACTGGTGCGTCTGCCGGGTCGTACCGGGGTTTTGCTCTCTCAACTCAAGAGAGAGAGAGACAGAGCGAGACTATCATGCTCTGAGGTCTGAGCAGCAGCTTCCTCTCCACTCCAAGCGAGCAGCACTGCAGCAGCACACGACCCCCTCTCCACTCTTCAGCGCTGCCGGCCGCCCCGCCAAATCTGGTCAAACCCTAACTACAGATCCCCTTCCTCTCCGCCCGATTCCTCCGCCCGTCATGGACTCGCCGGTGCTACCAACCACCGACCGCGGGACGCACCTCTCGCTCCTCGCGGACGAGATCCTGGAGGAGATCTTCCTCCGCCTGCCCACCCCGGAGGCGCTCGCCTGCGCGTCCGCCGCCTGCGCCACCTTCCGCCGCGTCATCACCGACCGCCCCTTCCTCCGCCGCTTCCGCAAGCTCCGCCCGCCGCCCCTCCTCGGCCTCATCAGCGACAGGGGCGGCGCCTTCCACCCCGCCCAGGCGCCGCACCCCTCCGCGCGGCTCGCCCGCGCCCTCCTCGACGCCGCCGACTTCACCTACTCCTTCGTGCCCAAGCCCAAGGAGGGGTGGCTCAGCCCCTGGCACCCCCGCGACGTCCGCGACGGCCGCGTCCTCCTCGACTGCAGGGTCCCGGGGAGAACCTTCAGATCCGCCCTCGCCGTGTGCGACCCCTTGTCGCGCCGCTACGTGCTGCTGCCGCCCGTGCCCGATGACGCCATAACCGCCCAGGAAGGACGCCCGGCTGAATTGGCGCCAGTCCTCGCCCCCGTCGGTGACCATGAGGATGAGACGTCGTTCAGGGTGATATGCATGGCGCACTACAGAACCAAGGTTGTCGCGTTCGTCTTCTCGTCCGTTACTCGGCAATGGTGTATAGCTGCATCTCCCAGCTGGAGCTCTTTGGGCACAGACCGCCCCCATGGGCTGCAGAACTGTTCTGATTCGAGAGGTTGCCGCGGCATGTCAAGTTTCGACCATGTGCGTGGCTGCTTCTACTCGGCATCGCCTTGGATGGACAAATTTCTTGTTCTGGATACACGGAGAATGGAGTTTTCCACCATCAGCGATCACAGTGGTTTCCACGAGCTGCTCAGACGTCTGCCTGGCCAGCCACTTGCAGAACACGGTATGCATCACCGAACTCGGCCTGGCCAGACCAGAAGTCTGCCTGGCTTTGTAGTTGGTAGAGAAGGATCCCTTGAGTTGTTGTCTCTTGTTGGTGATCACAGTCCAAATGGATCGTTTCGTCTTGTTTATACCACTCAAAATAACAGCGAATCTCCCAAGGAATGGCGGCTGGAGAGTGTTATACCCTTGCCTGGCCAATATGACTATTTCACCGTTGGCGCAGCTGCGGGATTCTTATTTCTCGGAGGCACTACAGAATCTCAGCAGGACTGTCATGAAACTGAATGGGTGGATACTTGGGATATAGATTATTTTTCAGTGGAGGTCCGGACTTCAGAACTTAAGAAAATCTGTACGATGACAAAGCCATGCTTCAACCACGAACGTGTCCACCCATACTTCGGCTTCCCACCATCGTTGTCAAGACCGACTATATGAAGTTGTAAGCTTGTTCTCATACCAAGTGCTTGCTTATTTTCTGTAGATTCTCTCCTGTGAAATGGTAAATCTTATTCTGTTTTCGTTTGTGGTGTTTCGCTGTCCTAATTGTGCATGTAGGACGTTATTGGTTGATTCTGTTTCTGTTGGGAGAATTTGTCAAAGTAGTGAAGATGGTCATGGTTTGTTTCTGACCTGTCCAACAAATGTCAAGTGACTGGGCAAGTAACGAAAAAATTTGTACTTGAAAGGCATTTATCCCACTAAATTTGCATGACCTGAAAAGCATTTTTGTACAAAATATATTACCTTTGAAAAACAGGGGAACTGGCTTGGTTTTCCTGGGTACACTACACCTCTGGTCCTCTGGTGGTAACCAGACCCAGACTGGTTTGATCATTGAGGAAATTGCACAAACCACCTACTTTTGGTGCTAGTTTTGCATAGAACACCTACTTTACAGATTTGTTGCACAAAATACCACATATTGGGGTAATTCGTTGCAACTAGGTCTAATCCACCATTTGGATGTGTTGACATGATTTCTGACAAGTGGGTCCAGTTTGTAAGTGCATCACGGCAAGAAAAACTTGCCGCATCAGCAGCCAACTGGAACTGTCAATATCTCACAATTCTTTGCTTCAATTGAGCTGGATTTTCCCCAGAATATTAGTGAGTGCATCTATGATTTATTGGGTTTTTTTAAATATTTTTTTAAGATGTTAAATTTCAACGAGTCAACTAACATTGCAAATATCTCACAAACTGTGGTCCAAATGAGCTGCCTTTTTTCGAGAGTAGTATTGCATACATGTGTGATTTACTGGAATTGTTCTGCATTTTTTTTGAAAATTTTGATTTTTGAGTAAAAAAAATTATGAGCCAATGTAAACTGCAGATATCTCATTATAATGTGATCCAAACCAGCTGAAACTTTCCAGATTCATTACTGGTTACAAATAGCTAATAGCACACCACAAATTTTCATGTGAAAAACAGAAGATTGCTACACAAATATAAAATGATTCATAAATAGGCACAGTATTCATAAAATAAAATCAGTAGCACCAAGATATGGCAGATATTGTCGCTGTCAGGCTTTAGCATCCAAGTGGCTGCCATAAAGCCATTATTGACATCATCAACTCTCACGTACCAAAATATTACCGCCATGAGGTGTTACCATCCAAGTAGTTGTCATGTGACCATTACAGACATCATCAAGTTGCACACACCAAAATATTACCGCCATGAGGTTTTAGCATCCAAATACTGGGCGATTTTGCAATGTTAGTTGACTCGTTTAATATTTTTGTTCAAATTTAACATTTTCGTAAAATGCAAAACAAACCAATAAATCATGTGTGCACTCACTAATATTCTAGAAAAAAATCAGCTCAATTGGAGCAAGAATTGTGAGATATTGATAGTTCTAGTTGGCTGCTGATGTGGCTGTTTTATCTTGTCACGGATGCACTTACAAACTGAACCCACTTGTCAGGAATCCTGTCAACGCACCCAAATGGTGGATTAGACCTAGCTGCAACAAATTACCTCAGAATGTGGTGTTTTGTGCAACAAACCTGTAAAGTGAGTGTTTTGTGCAAAACTAGCACCAATAGTAGGTGGTTTGTGCAATTTCCTCTTGATCATTGGGTCTAACTTTTTGCTGTCCAACTGTCGGTCCATGCTGTTTTTGATTATGCTAGTTTGAATTCCACCAATTGAGCCTATCCATGCCAAATCTCAGATGTGAAAGCTTGATTGTAGTTTACCAGTGTTGATGTTATATAAAAACCAAGACCATCTATTGGAATGGTAGTGCATCTTATAGGGCTTAGTATTTACATATCTTTCGTTGGAAATGTTGATTCTTGAAAGAAGAATGTTGCTTGAGGGCCTTGAAGCTTTTATCTAGCATTGAAATGTTGCGTTTCTACTAATCTATTAGTAGTATGTTTCAGAACTAGGATTACATGTACCTGGTGCTCCTGTAACACAAATGAGCAGCATGAGCAGCTTATGTGCCGTTTACTCTTTACTTGCCAGTTTTGCATAGTTGGTCTAATTTTTTATATTGCTCCCAAAATGTCATAAGATGGCCCTGGGATTAATTTGAGAGCACAGCGGAAACAACTATTTTTATTGCACCCACATTGGTTTTATTCTTTGTTGTAACTATTGATATCTGCAGGGATGAACCCATTTTGCTTTCGAGGTCTGTTATCTGGGCCATGCGTCTGCTGCGGATATACGGAACACGGTACTGCGAAAATGTCGGCTCGATGTAGCAATATTTGTTTGCAAATAATGTTGTGTTTTGTTTTTGCGGGGGGTGGAAATAGTGTTATGTTGAATGTATTTAAGCAAAGACATGCTGTGGCTTTGTCTAGCATTGATGTGTGCATATACTGTTGTTGTGCTGGGACAATGGGCTTCACCACTGCGGTGACCTCGTGTATACCACTAGTAAGAGACATGTTGTGTTGAGAGAATCACTACTTATTATTGTACTCCCTTCGTAAACTAATATAAGAGTGTTTAGATCACTACTTTAGTAATCTAAACGCTCTTATATTAGTTTACAGAGGGAGTATTTAATCTTCTCAACAAGTTTATCATCTATAGCTTTTATGCTCTAGGCCCCCATTTGCCTTTGGAGTGTTGTAGGAACTCTGTAATTTTCCATGAGGAATAGCTTGAGATATATAAAATTTTGGGAAATTTTGACATAAATCCTGACCTTATAGAAAATCCATGTGTGTCCTACATGTTCCTTATTTCTCAAATTCTCAAAAATAATCTTGTGAATATCTGAAGAAATCTTGTTGCTTTACGTTTCATTTCTATTTTATTCTTATGCTTGCAGTTTTTGACTCATGTGTGCTTTGGTACATGTTTGTCACCCCATACAATTTTTGCTGGAACTTAACAACGAAAATAGAAGCCACAAAGGAGTAAATACAACTAGAGATGATACCCCACTTGTAGCTACGGGAATCAGTTGCAATTATTTAAATGAGATCTGGTTGTATGAAACAATTTAGATTAACAATATGAGATTCGAAACTAAAATACGTATAAGCTACTGCTTATCGTATGGTTGTAAAATATATATTGAATATGAGTATCATCCATGATGCATTTTAAAGGTGTCTTTTTCATGAATTGTTGCGTGTGCATTAAAAATGTATCTTTTTCGCGCATTTTGGCATAGTGAGTTGACATGGTTGGATGTTAAAAGAATTTGGAGTTAGTGAGGACCAACTATTTAGCTTGTCGACATATTTGCATGTACAAGGTGGAATTTACTCTAAAATAAAATAAAAAGCAGAGCACTCCTATGACGTATTACCCTTATTAAAATCTCGCTAGTGAATTATACTACTGTAAAGAGAGAGAGAGAGCGAGAGAGAAGAAACTTGCTATCGCTAGTGCATGAATCTGAAGTATTTGGCGACGATGGCGTCGATGAGGATCTGGTAGCCCCTCTCGGTGGGGTGGTAGCTGTCCCAGAACAAGTACTTGGAGGGGTCCTTGCAGAGCGGGCTGGCGAAGTTGCAGAGCACGGCGGCGGCCAGCCCGATGTAGCCGCAGCACGCGTCGTGGGTGTTGTTCAGCCCGAACGCCTCCGGCCGGTAGATCACGTCGGCGAGGATGGTGTAGATGTCGACGTTCACCAGCGTGACCCCGGGGAGCCTGACGCCCAGCTTCGCCATCTCCTGCCCCACCCTGTGGTTGAAGAGCAGGGCGAGCTGGTTGCGGTCCGTGGCGCACTGCTTCCGGAGCCCGCCGGCGATCATGCGCTGCGACGGCAGGCACCCCACCGGCGGCGCCCCCACCAGCGCGATCCGCTTCGCGCCCAGGTCCGCCAGCGACTGCACGTAGGCGATGGCCCGGCTCACCATGCTCTCCGCGTACCCGGGCTCCGTGATACCGTCCGCGAAGGTGAAGTGCTCCACGATGTCGTTGCTGCCCGTCACGATGAAGTAGAGCGCCTTGTCGGGCACGCTGCCCCCGACCTTCTCCTTGTACTCCTGGAACAGCTGCAGCTGCCGCTCCATCGTCAGCGCCGACATGGTCCGGCACGTGGCGTTGTCGAAGCCGTTGCCCGCGGACGCGAAGCTCACCCCCGTCTTGAGCTCCTCGATGGAGAGCCCCTTCTTCAGGTACGGCGGCAGCAGCTCCTTCACGCCCAGCGCCGACGCTGCACGCACGCACGCATTTCCAAAACAAATTGATCCTTGGTTGTTTGGGAAAATATATTGTGAAAATACATTTCCATGGCAAAAGTACAGGGTAATGGATGGTACTTACCTAGGAGGTCGACGCTGATCTTGCCGTTGGAGAACCGGCCGGTGTGCTTGTGGCCGGGGAAGTCCTTGCCGTAGGGCGGGAAGTTGGAGCGGATGAACGTCCGGAGGTGGTTGTTGTTGCCCGTGTCGGCCACCGAGTCGCCGAACGCGAGGATCGCGGGGAACTTGGGCGGCCCGGCCGGCAACGGAGGCGCCTTGGGCGGCCCTACCGCCGGCGGAGGGGTGGCTCCCGCCGCCGGAGGAGGTGTAGCGGGTGGCCCTCCCGCCGCAGGATGTGGCTGCGCCGTGACCGCGACTCCGGCGAGAACCAGCAGGGCGGAGATCACGCCGGACGCGGTGGCGACCGCCATGTGAGTGACAGAGAGAGGGAGAGCTCTGAGCCGGAACCACCGTGGACGTACGTACACCGCCCGAGATTTGTGACGCGGTGTGCATAAATAGGCCGCGCTGCTGCTCGTTTCACCAAGTGACTTCGTCTAAGGGAAAACGGCAGTTGCATGCGAGATCATGAAGAAGACCCGGTGTGCTCGCATGCATGCATGTCCTTGGCAGGGTTACATTTGTGCAAGGATGCGATACATGCTCCCTGTCTCTCTGGGTTTTTTCCTTCTTCGTCTCTGGATGAAGGCTAAATTTGCTCAAGTCTAGCCCGGGCCAGGGCAAGATGGAATGGCACTCTATATTAAAGGAAGCAGGTTGTAGGAATTCTGTTATGAACGATGCTATAAGTAAGGCGGTTTCTGTACAAATCCGCCCATTCATGCATTGGGGCAAAGTGTATAAGGGCATGTATAGTGGATGATAGGACAGTCTTATCTTAAGTCTTGCATGTGATTTGGACATGAGAGTAAAAGTATGTCTACAATAAGTTATAAGGGCAGGTGCAATGTTAAGCCTTGTATGTGATTTGGGTATGAGAATATAAGTATGTCTAATGATTTATCTGTTAGTCTTATCTTTAATAACTAGCTATTCTTAAAAAGTGGTGAGACATATTGTGTTAACACTACTAGAATTACACCCTGCATCGAGTGTCAGAATACGTCGAGTGCTACCCTAAGCAAAGATGCATTATCAGCATTGTTTTACGTTATCATACGCCAGAGAAGGCCCATGAATTATTCAATCTACTCTTCCTTTCAATCCTTTCAATCGAGGAGATTCTAAGGTATGAATTTTTTGAATATTCTAGGAAACATGAACAGTTTTTTGAAAATTATGTCCACTTTCGAAAAAATGCAAATAAAATATGAAAGGAAACATCTTTTAAAATTCACAAACATTTTATGAGAACACCAACTTTTTTTATAAAAACATGAACATTATTTGAACATGTCAACATTTTTTTAAACCGGGAACATGTGTTGAAAATTCATAAGATTTTTAGAAAATGTGTATCTTTTATACACAAAAATTATTTTTAATTTTGAAAATTTTACTAAAACATGAATATTTTTCAAATTTGGAGCATTTTTACAAATGCCATTTTCTTTTTAGAAATTCAGAACAATTTTTGAAAAACAATAGTTTTAAAGAAAAAATTGCAACTTTTAGCAAGTTCCTAATATTTTTCAAAATAGCAACAAAATTTTGGAATTATGAACATTTTCTAATATTTGTTTTTTTAATTCTGATTTTTTTTAATTTTTTTAATTTATGAATAAATTCTAAACGAAAAACAAACTTGGAAGGAAAAAAGAGACAAGGAAAGGAGAATAAAATTAGAATTAAAATACATAAAAAATGAAAAATGAGCCAGCAATTATTGGTTGTCCTGCGTGAAACTCCGACTATTTGTCGTCCAGTGCGGAAAATAGAATTTTCTTAGCTGCCTGGCCAGAAAAATAAGTGGGCTAACTTCATTGGGCCACAACGCGTGGCCCACATACAAAAATTCTTTGTCTAGTAGACAAACACATAAGAATTTAGTACCACATCGGGTAGAAAAAAGATCTTTTCGGCGGTGAACGGATGAAAGAATGGGCGGAACGCACCTTGCTTTATTAGCAGGTATCCCAAAGTTAACATTAACCCAAATTCATTTAATCGGTAACAGTGTTGAGATCTCCATATAATCCAAATTCCAGTTGCTCAAATTGTTTGTAACTAGGGACACGGCTAACCGATTTACTTTTCCCCACAAGACTCGATCGCCTCCGTTATAGTCCTCGCATTGCCTGGTGTTTAAAAACTGGATGATCAAGACATAGTTTTTTCGTAGAGGTCCCCTTAACCATGGCCAATACCCATTGTGACGCCCCCGATTTAATCGTACACTAATCATACACGCAAACGTGTACGATCAAGATCAGGGACTCACGGGAAGATATCACAACACAACTCTACAAATAAAATAAGTCATACAAGCATCATATTACAAGCCAGGGGCCTCGAGGGCTCGAATATAAGAACTCGATCATAGACGAGTCAGCGGAAGCAACAATATCTGAGTACAAACATGAGTTAAACAAGTTTGCCTTAAGAAGGCTAGCACAAACTAGGATACAGATCGAAAGAGGCGCATGCCTCCTGCCTGGGATCCTCCTAAACTACTCCTGAACGTCATCAGCGGCATGCACGTTGTAGTAGGCACCTCCGGTGTAGTAGGAGTCGTCGTCGACGGTGGTGTCTGGCTCCTAGACTCCAGCATCTGGTTGCGACAACCAGGTAGAAGGGAAAGGGGGGAAAAGAGGGAGAAAAGCAACCGTGAGTACTCATCCAAAGTACTTGCAAGCAAGGAGCTACACTACATATGTATGCATTGGTATCAACTGGAATAAGGCTATTATATGTGGACTGAACTGCAGAAAGCCAGAATAAGAGGGGGATAGTTAGTCCTTTCGAAGACTACGCTTCTGGCAGCCTCCATCTTGCAGTATGTAGAAGAGAGTAGACTGAAGTCCTCCAAGTATCATCGCATAGCATAAACCTACCCGGCGATCCTCTCCTCGTCGCCCTGTTAGAGAGCGATCACCGGTTGTATCTGGCACTTGGAAGGGTGTGTTTTATTAAGTATCCGGTTCTAGTTGTCATAAGGTCAAGGTACAACTCCAAGTCGTCCTATTACCGAAGATCACGGCTATTCGAATAGATTAACTTCCCTGCAGGGGTGCAGCACATAACCCAACACGCTCGATCCCATTTGGCCGGACACACTTTTCTGGGTCATGCCCGGCCTCGGAAGATCAACACGTCGCAGCCCTACCTAGGCACAACAGAGAGGTCAGCACGCCGGTCTAAATCCTATGGCGCAGGGGTCTGGGCCCATCGCCCTTTGCACACCTGCATGTTGCGAACGCGACCGGAAGCAGAACTAACCCCCTTAATACAAGAGCAGGCTTACGGTCCAATCCGGCGCGCGCCACTCAGTCGCTGACGTCACGAAGGCTTCGGCTGATACCACGACGTCGAGTGCCCATAACTGTCCCCGCGTAGATGGTTAGTGCGTATAGGCCAGTAGCCAGACTCAGATCAAATACCAAGATCTCGTTTAACGTGTTAAGTATCTGCGAACGCCGACCAGGGCCAGGCCCACCTCTCTCCTAGGTGGTCTCAACCTGCCCTGTCGCTCTGCCACAAAGTAACAGTCGGGGCCGTCGGGAACCCAGGCCCACCTCTACCGGGATGGAGCCACCTGCCCCTTCAGCCCCCATCTCCGAACAGTATCACAGGTAATGTAATAGTGTAAAGTAAATAGTATATGCCCGTGATCACCTCCCGAAGTGATCACAACCCAGTAGTATAGCATGGCAGACGGACAAGAGTGTAGGGCCACTGATGGAACACTAGCATCCTATACTAAGCAGTAGGATAGCAGGTAAAGGTAACAACAGTAGTAGCAAGGACAGGCTATGCAGCAGTATAGGATTAACTGAAAGCAGTAACATGCTACACTACTCTAATGCAAGCAGTAGAGAAGAATAGGCGATATCTGGTGATCAAAGGGGGGGGGGGCTTGCCTGGTTGCTCAGACAAGGAGGGGTCGTCGGTGACGTAGTCGACCACAAGGGCATCAGCATCGTCACGGGGTCTACCGGAGAGAAGAGGGGGGAGAAACAGTAAATACATAGCAAGCAAGTGCTTAACAGGACAACAGGCAAAGCTAGACGTGTTCTAACGCGGTATGAGGTGATACCGGTGAAGGGGGGAAACATCCGGGAAAATATCCCCGGTGTTTCGCATTTTCGGACAGATGAATCGGAGAGGAAAAGTTGCATGTTTGCTATGCTAGGGATGTGTGGCAGACGAACGGGCTGCGTATTCGAATTCGTCTTGTTGTTCTGAGCAACTTCCATGTATAAAACATTTTCATCCGAATTACGGATTAAAAGATATGATTTTCTAAAGATTTAAATCATTTTCTGATTTTAATTATTTATTTAAACCCAACATTATCCAGAACAGTGAATGATGACGCAGGCATGACATCAGAGTGATATCAGTAGGTCAACTGGTCGGTTGATCAGTCAAACAGACAGGTGGGTCCAGTGGGACCCACATGTCATTGTCTGTTAACTAATTAACCAGGTTAATTAGTTTAGTTAACAGATTAGTTATGTTAATTAACAGTAGTTAATTAGTTTAATTAGTTATTAGGTTAATTAAACACAATTTATTTATTTAATTAATTAATAATTTTATTTATTATTATTTTTATTCTTTTTTATAGAAAACGTTCTGGGGATGGGGCCCCCTTGTCATAGGCCCCGGGGGGCCTTAGCGGGTTAGCGGGCAGGAGGGCGACGGGCGCCGGGGCGAGCGCTCACCCGCACGGAGTGTGGCGAGGCGAGGCCAGTGGCCAAGGCGACCGCGGTGGCCGGCCGGCATGGGGAGACGAAGTGCATGGCGGGCGACGAGCGAGCTCGCGGGCGGCAGAGAAGGCGCCGCCGGAGTGGGGCCGCGCGGACGGGCTGGCGTGAGGGGCGAGGCCACGGCAGCAGCAACAGTGGGAGGCGCGGGCGCGCGGGCCGGCGAGGCCGCATCGCTGGTGAGGTGAGGCTGCGCACGCG